TGCTAAACATTTGTTTTGATGTTATGTAATTACATAACATCAAAACAAATGAAATTTAGCACTGTATAATCATCTACTTTAATGACAATAGGCCATGTTGCAATATAAATGCTCAGAGGTTTGTTTTAATTCAATGTTCAATTTAATATCTATTTCCATAATATAATATAAAGTTTAATATACAAATAATTTTCAGTATGTGGCCACATATTTCTTCAATATAATTCAACTATAATTATTGAGTCCGAAATTCCCGGGAAAATGTGCACACATGTTCATTTTCGTTCAGTGTACTCTTCAAAATCGGAGGCTGTGAGTCCTGACCTAGAAAAACATATTTCATTTCTGTGCAAATCAAACTGTTTTTTATCAAAATAGAAGGTAAATTGAAGATTCTTTAGTGCAAGAAAGGTAAGTACAGACATTTCTTTATCTACATAGAGCATTTTGTATCGTTTTCAAGCAAAACGGGCTGAGATTTTGATGTGATTAAAACTTTGATTTTTTCAATTTCTATTTTCACTTTGGGAAATTTTTGTGTCAAAGTCTAATGCGTGGCGCTGTTAATAAATGTGTGGCGCGCAATAAATCAGCGTGGCGCAGCCACAATAACATAGGCTTTTACAAGAAAGTACATCTGAAATTATTTATAAAGCTACTAAATAGTTAAAGTATGAAAACTCAAAAACACCAATCAATATGATACAAAGTATTATCGCGCGCTAACTTTTCTTAAGACATTAAAAATGGCTGACATGACTGAGCTAACGGGTCCAAAACCTAATCAGATGTAGAATGAAGTATGCTGAACAAGATTTTAAAGTTTTAAAAGCAACCGTGAAGCAGTTTTTCTTAAAGTTTGCAGACAAGGATTTTAGCATTTGACTTCAAAATGGCCGACAGGAAGTAGGTATCGAGCTAAAAATCTTTCGTCCACATCTGTATGCACTCATAAGTTATCCCTGAAAATTTGAAGGTGATATCTGTAGCGGTTTTGGAGAAAACTACCGGACGTACGTACGGACGGACGGACGGACAGACAGACAACCGGACGGAGGCGCCTAGGCCGACAATATGGCCCCACACTATGTAGTAGGGACATAACAAGATACAACGCATTAACATACCAAATATCCCCACCTGCCATTTGTTACAGACTCCGAACACCACTCGCCACACGCCAAACACCATCCACAAAAACAAATCTCAAATTTTAAGGCTAACAATATGTCACCACATGTTGTATTGACATTAAAACCTAATGAGCGAGTTAAAACCTATTAGCAACTTAAACTTCTCTTTGTCATATTCAAACTATTGAATCATCGACAAGGCATTAACATGACAAAATGTCACCACCTAAAACAATTTGGTCAATTTAAAGCAAGTTGAAAAAATACCTCTTTGACTTTTTTTGACATTGAGAAGGTCATTGAAGGTCAAATGTCAAATGTAAAGTCAGATTTGAACTTCTGAGAACATGTAGATGATTTTGAAAAAAAATTAAGTAAATTTGAAGCAAGTTGAAAAAAGACCTTTTTGACCTTGAAAAGGTCATTGAAGGTCAAATGTCAAATCTAAAGTCAGATTTGAACTTCTGAGAACATGTAGATGATTTTGAAAAAAAAATTAGTCAATTTGAAGCAAGTTGAAAAAAGACCTTTTTGACCTTGAGAAGGTCATTGAAGGTCAAAGGTCAAATCTAAAGTCAGATTTGAACTTCTGAGAACTTGTAAAGTCAAATTTGAACTTCTGAAAAGATGTAGATGATTTTGAAAAAAAAATTTGGTCAATTTGAAGCAAGTTGAAAACAGACCTTTTTGACCTTTTTTGACCTTGAGAAGGTCATTAAAGGTCAAATGTCAAATCTAAAGTCAGATTTGAATTTCTGAGAACATGTAGATGATTTTGAAAAAAAAATTAGTCAATTTGAAGCAAGTTGAAAAAAGACCTTTTTGACCTTTTTTGACCTTGAGAAGGTCATTGAAGGTCAAATGTCAAATCTAAAGTCAAATCTAAAGTCATATTTGAATTTCTGAGAACATGTAGATGATTTTGAAAAAAAGATTTAGTCAATTTGAAGCAAGATGAAAAAATACCTTTTTGACCTTTTTTGACATTGAAAAGGTCATTGAAGGTCAAATGTCAAATCTAAAGTCAGATTTGAATTTCTGAGAACATGTAGATGATTTTGAAAAAAGAATTTAGTCAATTTGAAGCAAGTTGAAAAAAGACCTTTTTGACCTTTTTTGACTTTGAGAAGGTCATTGAAGGTCAAATGTCAAATCTAAAGTCAGATTTGAAGGTCAAATGTCAAATCTAAAGTCAGATTTGAATTTCTGAGAACATGTAGATGATTTTGAAAAAAAATTGAGTCAATGTGAAGCAAGTTGAAAAAAGACCTTTTTGACCTTGAGAAGGTCATTGAAGGTCAAATGTCAAATCTTAAGTCAGATTTGAACTTCTGAGAACATGTAGATGATTTAGAAAAAAATTGAAGTCAATCTAAACAGTATTTGTTAAGTTATAGGAAGTTGTAAGAAATTGTTACAGACGCCGGACGCCAACCGCCGGACGCCAACCGCCGGACGCCAACCACCAACCGCCGGACGCCGTCACAAAAAAACGGAGACCATAACAATATGTCACCACCAATCACCACTTTTGGTGGTGACATAAAAATATATATTATTTGATTTTCACTGACCTTGCTGATTTCTTAGATTCTCACTAGATGTCTCCACTTGTCTGTCTCCTCCAGCCTCAATTTCAGATCTCTTGGGCCCCAACTCCTTTTTACGACTTTCTGTTTTGTCATAATAATCATCAATTTGTTCTTCCTTGATTCTGATATCACATGATTTTTTATCAGACCAGGGAGGTTCTATTTTGATGTTTTTGCTTTTGTCATTTAACTGATCCTGCACTTCGTAGCGTTTAAAATCGCTACATGTTTTTCCTGCTAGTTGAGTGAGAGACTTGGTACTAAACTCTGCCTGCATCTGAGTAACAGGGACATTCTCCTTCATACTACGTGCACGCTCTCTATCTTGCTCGGCATTTTCAGATGCATTCTGGGTAACAAGCTTATTTAGATTCGCCAAAATCTTCATTGAGACTTTCTTCTTCTTCCTCTTGGTTTCATTTCCCTTTGCTAACATCCCTTGTTTCGTTGACTCCTTAAGAAAAATCACATCATCATCTTCGACAACATCCTCAGTGTCTGACTCCACCTCTTTGACATTTACAGGGAAAGGACTGTGTGTAATATGCTGACCATATAGCGTAATATCTATGTTGTGTTTGCCTTCACGCAGAGGGACAAACTGTACCATATATTTACCATTCTTCATGTCCCTAATCTGAGTTTCGAGTTTGACACCGTCCTGATCAGTGACTCGAGCATTTAAGTGTTTTATGATGTCTGGTACGTACTCAGAAGCAGCAGTTACATGTACCTCGATTAGTTCATCAATACCTGCAATGATATGAAACATTTACTAAGGATTTAAGGCCATGACTCAGAGCATTCTATGCGCTATGCTGAGTCATTCCACTGAAGGGGATGCTTCAAAGTTTAGGAAACAATGGCTGAGTGAAAAGAAGCAGTCACAATGCATAGATTCTTGGGCTTAAATTCTTTTCACACATTGCAAAATATTTTCCACAAAATCAACTAAAAGATGCAAAATCACTAAACAGGCAAGTGTCAAGTTGGCAAAGCATCAATTTTAATCTCCTCACCCTGACAACCATACAACATATACATTATTGGTTGAACAAGGGAATGCAGTTACATGAAAGAGCGTGTTCTGATTGGCTGGAATTGGATGCATTGCCTGGCTGTGTGAATTATTTTAAATACATGTTCAGTATGCTATATCCATTCATTCTTTCTATGATTATTTTCAACATTGTTTGTTAAGAATTTACACAGTATACACAGCCTATCAGGTTGGTTTCTTCTGCTAGTAATTTGACCATCTTTTTTCATGTAACATCTGATACTTTCACCAAACATTGCTTCATGTATCCAACCATCTCTTTGTGTACATCAAGTCTGTTAGTTGGGATGGAACAAAGTCAAATACAGTTAATGTATATTTTGTGTTACCCTGTATTAAAACACTTACCTATATAAGCCTTGTAGACTATGGTTTGATCAATAGAACATGTCACATCTGATACTTTGACCAAACATGGCTTAATGCAGTGATCTCCCCAGCATTAAAGCAAGTGGGCGCAGCACCCACCTGAGATTTTGAAAATAGGCTTGCACCCACCTGAAAATCCATATGCACCCACTTGAAATGAGAAAAATCATGAAAAATTGGCATATTTTGACCAATTTTGGTCTGAATTGTGAAAATGAAAATTTTGTACCCACCCGAGGAAAAATCCTGGGGAGATCACTGTAATGTATCCGACCATCTCCTTGTGTATCAAGTCTGTTAGTTGAGGGGTCGGAACAAATTCAAATACAGTTAAAGTATTTTTGGGTTACCCTGTATTAAAACACTTACCTATATAAGCCTTGTAGACAATAGTTGGATCAACAGAACATGTCACATCTGATACTTTCACCAAACATGGCTTAATGTATCCGACCATCTCCTTATGTATCAAGTCTTGTTAGCTGAGGGGATGGAACAAAGACAAATACAGTTGAAGTATTTTTGGGCTACCCTGTATTAAAACACTTACCTATATAAGCCTTGTAGACTATAGTTGGATCAACAGAACATATCACATCTGATACTTTGACCAAACATGGCTTGATATATCCAACCATCTCCTAATGAATCGAGTCTGTTAGTTGAGGGGATGGAACAAAGACAAATACAGTTAAAGTATTTTTGGGTTACCCTGTATTAAAACACTTACCTATATAAGCCTTGTAGACTATGGTAGGATCAACAGAACAGGTAACATCTGATACTTTCACCAAACATGGCTTAATATATCCGACCATCTCCTTGTGTATCAAGTCTGTTAGTTGAGGGGATGGAACGAAGTCTAATACTGTTAAAGCATCAAATGCAGGTACTTTAGGCATCTTCATCAACTCTCCCAGCTTGAGACTTATCAATTGGCAATCTTCCTGGAGTTGGTCCTCATGGCCTATTAAAGGGAAAACATGTAACCAGTAATTTCCCTAACATAGGAACAAGGCACAGACGTGAACAATATCGAACCTAAAACACAGCATTGTGGTCTTGTTGACCAAGAAAGCAAGATGGCCGCAGAAAAGTTAATCAGCTCTAGAACTTATCACTGTGTAACATATGTAAAAATTTGAACGGTTTGGCTGGAAACCTGTAGACAAGTCTTGAAAGTGAAGATTTTAGGACGGAAAATCCAAAATGGCCACCTTAAAATTTACCCAGAATGCCCAAAAACCAATCAGTTCTTGACGTTGATATGTAGAAACATCCCTGAAAATTTCAGATGAATCCCTCAAATGGTTTGGCTGAAAATCTGTAGACAAGTCATGAAAGTGAAGATTTTAGGACAGAAAATCCAAAATGGCCACCTTAAAATTTAACTAGAATGCCCAAAAACTAATCAGTTCTTGACGTTGATATGTAGAAACATCCCTGAAAATTTCAGATGAATCCCTCAAAAGGTTTGGCTGGAAACCTGTAGACAAGTCTTGAAAGTAAAGATTTTAGGACGGAAAATCCAAAATGGCCACCTTAAAATTTACCCAGAATGCCCAAAAACTAATCAGTTCTTCACGTTGATATGTAGAAACATCCCTGAAAATTTCAGATGAATCCCTCAAATGGTTTGGCTGAAAACCTGTAGACAAGTCTTTTAAGTGACGATTTTAGGACGCCGCCCGCCCGCCCGTCAAGCTGACTACAATATCGTACCTTTTGTTAGGTACGATAAAGTGTGGATGCATCAACTTCATCCTCCTAAGCAGGTATCCAGAATCCGTACCTCCTTCCCCCTGCTATAACCAATTTGGAAGCGCCAGATTAAACTGAATCACTTGATCTAATTATGCGCAATGACTTATACATGATTTCTGTTGCAGTGTTGGGACAGCCAATCGGATTGTGAGTTCTTGATCGGGGAAATACTAACTGCTTATCACAGGGGGTAAAAAGATATTCTGGGTTTTGAAGCCCTGTGATCGGAGGATGCATCAACTTGAGATTTTCAAAATAGGCTAGCACAAAGGATCAAGCTGAACAACTATAAATTTGCATTCAAATAATTGTGAAACTGATTTTTTTAATTCATTTGATAGAATTGTGAAGATATTTTGTTCAGAACATTGTACACTCAAGAATCTTTTTATAAGTTCTGACAACCAACAAGATGAATGAAAATAGTTGAAAGAATTATAATTTTAACATGAAGACATATTCAGCAATCATTATCAATTAATAATAATAAAAAAAGCAAATTGTGACCTTGAAAATTCTCATTGTCTGCGTCTTATGAAACAAGAGAGTTGGCTTTGAGTGAACACTCATTTTTGCACTCTCAGCTGAACAAATTCTGGAGAACTATAATTATATGCTAAACCAATGAAAACACTGTTATCAATAAGTCCAGAGATCCCCCAAGCTTTGTGGCAGAGCAAATAAACTCATTTGATTCTTTTTTTTTTTTTTTTTTATTATTAAATTAATCATTTGTACAAAGGATACATACAATAATACAGTGTAAGTGGCTGTGCTTTTAGCATTATTAGCCACGTTCTACAATTACAATATACAATGTATTCAATCAATAATATTTGATTAAAATAAATGAGATACAATAAGATAAAAGTTGTTTTGTGGAGGATTTCAGACATTTACACATGGCTCGAAGAAAATGGCACTGCACTTTAAAACAATCAGATTCTCAGCTCTACTTAATGTTTTATCACCATTGAGGATCAGAGAAAGTTTATCACGTTGTGTCTTATATTTACGGGAGTATTGTATATTCATATTTTTTAGTTGGTTTTCTAATTCAGTCCAGAATGTTAATCTCAAGTTACATCGAAAAATCACATGGCTGGTTGTTTCACTGTTAATACCACATGAGCAGATAGGGGAATTTACATTGGTAAAGTTATGCGAGTAAAGGTGAGCCTTGAAAATGAAATCACATCGTACTCTGTTAAATATAATTTCTTGGTTTCTTGAGATGGACAGTTCTGATGAGTTAATGACAGTTTCGTTAAAAATATTTCTTTTAAGGCTTGATTTAAATATGCTTAAGCTAGATGAGTTCTTTATATCAGATGGCAGTAGATTCCATTCTGATATTGTTTTTGAGATACAAGATCTTTCATAAAATTTGGATTTTACTGGTAAAATATAGTCAAGTTGGTGTCTTAGTACATGTGTTTGATTTCTTTTTAGTTCAAGTTCAAATATATAGTTTTAGTTCAAATATCTCAGTAACATAAGAAGGCAGCAAATTGTTGTGAGCTCTATACATAAAGGTAGCTCTATGATATTGGCCCACACTATTTGAGAGTGTGGGCCAATTTAAAGTATTCAACACTTTTGTGGTTGATGTTCCATGCATGGCACCTGAACAAATAAGTGCAGCTTTATAGTAAAGGCGGTCTAAAAGTTGTAGTTTTGTCAAATTTGCACATCCGTAAAGAATATCACAATAATCAAAGAGTGGCAAAATAAAAGACTTAAAAATTGTTTCAAGGTGTTTTCCACTTATTTTCTTACTGAAGACTTTTAACGGATTTACGAGTTTATCTATTCTTGCTACAAGTTCAGTAATGTGATAGTCAAAAGTGAGATTTTTGTCCAAAATCAACCCCAAGTGCTTGTGATTGTTTACTCTTGGTAACTTGTCATTACCAAGGGAAAGATCTGGGGTCAAAATTTCGCGCTTTCTTGGATTAAAAAAAGTCATATCTTTACTTTTACTAGCTTTGAAGTTTAATTTCCATGTATTTGACCATAAGAGAATTTTATTTAGATCCTCTTGTAATTCATTATTCTTAGCAGCTGCTGTTTCAGCTGTGAAGGATTGGTAAAGTGACGTGTCGTCTGCATATATAAAACATTTGGTACTTAAGTTATCAGGTAGATCATTGATATAAATTAAGAACAGGAGGGGGCCTAATATGGAGCCTTGAGGTACTCCTGCGTTTATATGGTTCATCTCAGATAGTTCAGACTCATGGCCATCCAATACAACTTTTACTTGTCTATTTGATAGGTAAGATTTCATTAATTCTATGATGTTATGACCAAAACCATACATTTTCAGTTTTTTTAATAGTAGCCCATGGGGCATTGAATCAAAGGCGGCCGAAATGTCAAGATAAATCCCCCTTACATTGGCCCCATTTTCAATTTCATTAGTTATGACATCAATTATACTTAAAAGCTGTGCCTGGGTGCTGTGACCTGGCAAAAAGCCACTTTGGGGGTTATAAAATAAATTGTTCAAAATGAGATGGTCAAAAAGTCTTTTGAAGATTACGCGTTCTGCAACTTTAGATATACAGCTCAGAAGAGTGATAGGTCTATAATTTTTTACATCTGTTTTGTCTTTACTTTTATGAATTGCTACAACGTGGCCTATCTTCCAAGAATGGGGGTATTTATTAAGAATGAACATTTTGTTTAATAATTTTGATAATATGGGTGAAAGTGATGGTGCTGCCATTTTAAGCATTCTATTGCTTAACATGTCAGGGCCAGTAGCTTTATTTGTATCTAACCCAAGTAAAATGCTATAAACCTCTCTATCATTAGTAGAGAGTAGGTCAAAAGATTGATCAGTTCTTGGAATAAAAGTTTCATTTCCTTCTTGATAGTTTATATGATATTTGTCAATGAAATGAGACAGTAGCAAGTTTGCTTTGTCATGGCTATCAGTGTAACTGTTACCTCTAGCATCACAAAGAAGTGGTATTTTACTATTTTTACATTTTCCCAAAAGCCTACTTACAATTGACCAGTATCCTTTGCTTCCATATCTCTGATTACTTAATTTATAGTACAACCTTGATTCCATTGCCTCTTTGGCCTCACGAATAGCATCATTAACAAGATTACATTGATCAGTATATTTTTTAAAGTATTTGTCATCATGTGTTTTCCTGTACTTTCGATGTAATTTATTTCTTTTATTTATCAAGGTTTTGATATCGCTTGTAAACCATGGCTTATCCGTAGGTTTAATTTCAATGTCAGAGTTTGGAATAAGATCTGTAAAAATTGCAAGTAACCCTCTAGAAAAATTGCTTACTATGTCATCTAAGTCATTACTACTATCTATCAAATGATCAAAGTCTGCTGCTCGAACTGAATTGTTAATTATACTTATATCTGCTTGGTCATATTTCCAAATTTTTCTTGAATAGGGACGGTTTTTAAGAGTTTTAAGAAAACACTCCGTGTTTATTGAGCAATGGTCAATCGGTCCAATCGGAGGAGAGACATAGGCATTTGTTATAATATCAGGGCTATTTGAAATGAGAAGATCGATACATGATCTACTAGTATCATTTGATTCTCTCACCTAACTCAAGCAGACGCTCAGCTTGCATGCTTGCTTTCTTAATCTGGTCCAAATGTTGATTTAGGATTACTTTGTATGTCGCAAGGGACTTTTCTCTCTCTCCCTTTACCTTCCCCAAGTCTTGGATGATCTCCTGCTGCACCTGCGTTGAAAACAAGTTATATTTGGCATGAGGGATTACCATATAAGGGATTATCAGATTTGTTTGCTATGGGGGATTTGTTGAATTTCATGTCTGAATCTGACTGTTGATGTCAAAGACAATTCCTCAGAGGAGACAACAAATTTTAGCATTATTTTTGTAAAACCTGTCTTCGTGAACACCTCTTTCTAGTGAACACCTGTCTCTTGTAGACAACCTTTCTTCACACAAAATTGCAAACAAGCCACAGGGTGAACAGAATCGCACCCTTAAACAGAATACACTTTTCGGGATGGAAAATTCAAAATGGCCACCTTAACATTTACCCAGACTGCCTAAAAACTAATCAGTTCTAAACTTTCCATAGAAGCATATCTAAAATTTTAGGATGAATCCATGAAACCTGTAAACAACCCTCAAGAGACACGTTTTAAGGTATTACTTCAGCTGTGTTCTCCCTGACTGAAAAATGCGTGGCGCTTGCGCCACGCACATTGTGGCTGCGCCACGCTGATTTATTGCGCGCCACACATTTATTAACAGCGCCACGCATTAGACTTTGACAGAAAAATTTCCCAAAGTGAAAATAGAAATTGAAAAAAATCAAAGTTTTAATCACATCAAAATCTCAGCCCGTTTTGCTTGAAAACGATACAAAATGCTCTATGTAGATAAAGAAATGTCTGTACTTACCTTTCTTGCACTAAAGAATCTTCAATTTACCTTCTATTTTGATAAAAAACAGTTTGATTTGCACAGAAATGAAACATGTTTTTTCTGGGTCAGGACTCACAGCCTCCGATTTTGAAGAGTACACTGAACGAAAATGAACAAGTGTGCACATTTTCCCGGGAATTTCGGACTCAATAATTATAGTTGAATTATATATTGAAATATAGTTGAAATATGTGGCCACATACTGAAAATTATTTTGTATATTGAACTTTATATTATATTATGGAAATAAATATTAAATTGAACATTGAATTAAAACAAACCTCTGAGCATTTATATTGCAACATGGCCTATTGTCATTAAAGTAGATGATCATACAGTGCTAAATTTCATTTGTTTTGATGTTATGTAATTACATAACATCAAAACAAATGTTTATATTTATAACAATTGGCTGTTGATGCAAATGATTGTGATTAAGTAACGCCGCGAAGCGGCGCTGATTTTTTTAAGCATGTTTTTGTAAACTCATCACCGCCCTAATAATTTTGCCACCACCCATCAATTTTTATTCAAACTTTTTTACCACTCACTTTTGAAAAATTAGGGAGAACACTGTTCAGTGTATCAGCTTTTTTTCTACAATTCAGATTTTCCTGAAAAAAATCCTGGTAAAAAATATACTGATGTATTATAAAATATGTGAAAATTGGAAAGATTGACTGTTTAGTTATTTCTAAAAAAAAGTTTTAATTTAACATTGCTCTCAATGGGAAATTCTTTTTTATTTTTTAAAACAAGCCTTCACAGACATGATTTTAGGACGAAAAATCCAAAATGACCGCCTTAACATTTACCAAGAATGCCGAAAAACTAATCAGTTCTAAACTTTTATAGGTAGAAACATCCCTGAGAATTTCAAATGAATCCCTCAAATGGTTTGGCTGGAAACCTGTAAAATAAAAAAGCCCAAACTTGAAATAATCAGATTCTTGCTTATAAATAAATTGGAAAGCCACAGATGAAAAAATCAGAAAGTTCTTAAGTTGAAAAATTAGAATGTTCCTGGTTTTTAAAAAAAACGCCTACACTGACTTACAACTCACGGAACAAAAAAAAATCGGAACGGTTCGGTTCGGAACATTTTGCTTCAGATTGAAACAATTTTGGGACGGTTCGGAACAGAGTGACTGCGTGTATAAGATTAAAATAAGTTGATTATCTAGGTCTATTTGGTAGCAAAAAGCTCTTCAAAACTCTTCAATGAGAAGGAGTGAAAAGAATGAACCTCTTTTGGTGCAAAATATTGAAAGAAAATGCTGTTTTGTGGCGATTTAAGGGCCAAAAGTTGTGAAAGGGTAAAATGTACTTGTTCCAGAACCGAACCAAAATTCTCAATTTGTGTTCTGTGTTCCGTTCTGAGGGCATAATTCTGCACATCGGAACAAAATCGGGTAGGGGAAGTCGTCCTATTATCGCACGGGTACTCAGGGAAACTACTGACGATTTCAAATATGATAACTTCAACTTACTTTGAGAATATGAGACGAAAGATCAACCTTTCCTCTAAAATCTAAGTAGTGTTTGACATTTCTCAATCTCCGAACGCTAACACTTTAAGACCCCTTAGACTCGCATGTGCGGTGGTCCTAATTATCGCACAGTCGTCCTAATTATCGCACAGTTGTGTTTCAGATGTCATTTCACGATACTGTATACATTTCTCTGTTTATAACAGATACATACATATGCTGTAATCATTTTTCTATCAGTTTTAGTGTAAAATATCAACAAAATATACATTATAAACTTACTTTTCTGTCTTTATTTGGAGGGGGTCAAAATTTGTCAGACGAATTTCACTTCTTGCGCAAAAGCATTTATGACAATGGCGGAAGTAAACAATTCTTAAAAAATGAAGAGATATTTCTAAATATATGAATAAATCATGAAGATTGGGAGTAATGGGGTTGAACTGTTTTTCGTAACACTGGTTTAAAAGATGGTGGGTGCATATTTTAGCTATTTAGGACAATTGTGCGATAATTAGGACCGTGCGATAATTAGGACCACTTCCCCTATCCATGACACCTCTAAAAATGATTGTGAGTATTATCAACATACCCTGTTCAGTTGATGTAGTAACTGTTGATGAGTGAGCTGTATTCGACTTTTCACCATGTCTGTCTTCATGAGTAGAAGCGTAAATGTTCCATCTATTTTCCTAATATGTTCTTCTATGTAAGGTTTGAAGTCCTTAAGTTCCCTCAATAGAGAACTGACCAGTGCCCTGGGTTCTTCTTTTGGATCTGCCATGATTGCTACCTACATCGGTTTTTCTAAAAAGAAAGGTTGTACAGTTGGGGACATAAATAAATGACAGGTGGATTTGCTGAAGTGAGGATTTCCCATGTTAAAAATAAGAGAATTTACAAGAGGCCATACATCAGTGGATGAGATTATACAAAATGTAAAATATACAAATTTTAAGGGATATATATCTAGACAATATTGGAAATTATGGGCTTTCAGACCACCATAATTAGGAAATGGTGATCGAAAATCGACCTGTCATTTATTTTTGTCCCCAACTGTAATTGCAGGGTTCTCCCCAGAATCTAATTGCATGGCGCTCCCCCCTGCTCACCTAATTTCCCCCCCTGTTCCCCCCCTGCTTGCTTCATCCCCCCTGTTCCCCCCTGCTTGCTTCACCTGCCCAGGGTCCCCAATATAATCATAAATGGGCCATATTATCATGTAGTATTATTAAATAAAAGGTTCTCTAAATGAGATTTGGTGTTTATTTACATTTTGCAACCCTGTAACCATATGCGAGCTGCTGAAGTACATATTGACAAAGTACGCGAGTGATGCAAGCGGCAAAAATTGATACAAAAATCACGCGAGCTAAGAGAGTGGCGAAACTTGTTAAAAAATCCCCCCCTGCTATCAAAAAATCCTGGGGAGATCACTGAATTGTTTTATAGATGTGGTATTCTATATTATTTGGCATACATGTAATTATTTTCGGCCAATTTTCAAATTTTGACCCCCTTTCCAGACTGAAATTCTTTCCAAATTAGATCTATGCAGTTTATCACCATTTTGAGAACTTTGTATTTTTGGGCCAGGGATGTTAGACTTGAACCTCCCCTAAAGTTTGGCCAAACATGGGTTTTCAAGAGGAAGGCCATGATTGCAGTGATATGCCTTATATCAACCTATGGGTATTGAATTAGAGATCATGAATGCAAAAACTGTGGTCAAAACAAAATCTGCTGATTTTTGAAAAAATCTAAAAAAAATTGTTGACAGTTTCATATTTTGTGTTCGAAATTCATGGTTGTTTTGGTAAAAATGGATAACAAAACCTGGTTCAAAATGAAATAATATTATTGAAGATAAAATTGCAGCATACCTTTAACTCTGTTGATCACATATATATGCAGTATTTCAACTTTATTTACAAAGACTTATCTTTTCATAGACTTTTAAGCATGGCGCCGAAATAGCCTCTAAACCGTGACAAAGTGATTGGTTGGAGACTATTTTGGGCGATAATAAAGAATAATTTAGGAGTCGAGAAAAGTTATACTTCGTTTTAACTCTTTCCTTGCCCAAGGACGTCAAAGACAGCGTTGACCAAAGATAGGTAAAATCATATAATAATGATAAGGTTTTATCAAATAATATATCAATCGTAGAGAAACGATAGAAACCTTTACTCAGATCACTGTTGTAAAATAATTCGAAGGAATTGAAGTTTATTTTTCGAATTTGATTTTAGCAGACGACAATAGCCATTCGTTTTCTTGGTTCATAACTTGGCTTATAATGAAAAAATAAGGCCCAAAAACGATCCAAGCCGGCAATGCCCAAACGGAGGCCTTTATTGAGGCCTCGGGGCCGTAGCCAGGATTTACCAGGGGGACTGGCACATTTGCCAAGGGGGGAGTTCGTTTTGCCTTGCCAAAGGAGGGGGGGGGGGCTTTTTGACAGTTTTGGCAAATAATCATACGAAACGTGCTCAGAATGGTGAAAAACTACGTGATTTTGAAAGAATATTCCTCCGCCCCCCCCCCCCCCCCCCATGGCTACGAGCCTGGTCCTGAACCTGGGCCTGTTCATTGGGGTTATATTAGTTTTGCAAGTGGATCCAAGAGACCAAGTGGGCGAGTCAATTATTTTGCAGGGATGGCATGATACACACATTTCAATTTTGTATATAGTGAATTCCCAGCGATTGATTTCAGTACAGTAAAACTGTCATAATGAACACCTCTTTAGTGACTAAGATCTGTGCCCAGTGAACACATGACTCTACTCTATTGAACACCATATCAGATGTTCCCACGCTTTATATCAATGATATAGTTTACATAAGAGAAGTATGACTGTATGAATTCTGGGATATTCCTGTTTTGTTGAGACAGATGAGAATAAAATTAACCCTTTGCAAAATTGATCAAAACTGCCTCCAATCATCCAATAGGTTACTTGGCTCAATCTAAGAGTGACCAAGTGGAGAAAATGGACTACTCATTGAAAAAATCTGTGATCCGGTATTTGTGCATTCTAATATGGTTTTTATTGAATTCGCTTCTGATTTCGGAATTTACAGATCTGATATTTATTGTCTACTAAACTTTTAGATGGTTTTCTTAAATAAGGCAATGTGAGTATGTGGAAATTGATATGTGTATATCCTGCCACCCCTACAAAATAATGGACTTGCCCACTTGGTCTCTTGGATCCACTTGTAAAATATATATAACCGTTCATTGGGCCCGAAAAACTGGGTCCACTCACCCGAGGGTAGCAGGACCCACAGTGACACCCGCGTATGGCGAATATCATTTAGGGAGAAAAATCCACTTGACCATAAATTGATATGAAGAGGAAATAACTTTAGTAGGCCAAGGGCCTGGCCAATGATATACTTTTTACTTCATGATATATTATTTTCAGAATGAGTCACCCTGCTAGCAAAATGTTGTTTGATCTTGAACACACTCGGGATGAAAAACTTAAACAAATTGAGGAGATCTCAAAACAACTGGAAAACATCAAAGAGAATATCAAAACGTCTAGTGGTGAGTCAATTATCAATATCAAAATATTGGAAGACCGTCATACCGTTATACTTCAAGGTATCTTACGGTCCCAGATTTAACAAAACCTAAACTAAAACTTGCCCTCATCGACCTCCCTGCCCTGTCAATTTTCCGAGCTCGGGACGATACTCAGATGCGAGTTGGTAGTTACCAGTTTCGCCACCAGGTGGCTGATTCGGGGGAAATAACATGGCAGGGTATTACAAAATTCCCTTAAACTTGAATATTCATCAGTTTACGTGGTTCACTTTTCATATTACCCTAATGTATCTGATAGTTATACAAATCAAAATATGTCCAGTAAAACACTAAAATATTATCTGCCCAACACAAGAAAAGATATTTCCAATTTTGTCACCTTTACAACATGGGGGCTATGGAGAATCTCCCCGACCTAGAAGACATATTTTCAATGAAGAAAATTAAATTTTCAAAGTTGATAAACTCTTTTTAGAACCATATAGATGTAATTTTACATGTAGATTCCAAATATGACATCAGTTTGACTTAATTTTGAATTTTTAATGACGTAAATCAGTATTTCTACTCGCATCTAGGCTATTAAGAACAAGTATGATTACCCGTATCTCAATAGTTCAATTCGCAAGTTGAAGTACATGATCTTTTAAAAGTATACTTTACCTTCATAAAAGTCCTCAATTGACACCCAGATTGACATGCACAAATGCACTTGTAAGTGCGGTCTAGGATGAAGAAGAGACGAGTCAAAGCTAAATGTATACTTAGTGGGACTTGCGTCTCTGGTAAAAGTCACCATAGAATTCTGACACACGATTTACAAAACGCATCAAATAGAAATTAAATCCACCTTGATGCAATTCAATATTCATAAAGCGAACAACAAAATACAACATTCTCGCGTGACGCTTTATGTGCTGCTAAAATATATTTTATACTCTGATGAATTATAAAGAGGGCAGCACCAATCGAAAGATAATTTAGCCTAAGAGCCTCCAACTAGTCCATACTAGAGTATTAGATAAAATAATTTTGTTTCGTAATCTAAGCAATTTAATAATACGAGGTAGCATCACAAAATACATGATAAATGTCATTCAACTCACCCCAACCCAAACCAGATCTGTGAATGACTCCGTTAATCCGTATTTTTTAGGGCAAGTTTAAATATTTTATCATTTTCGTACAGGGTTTCGTCCTTGGTCCAACGCTGAATTTTACTTCTTTGAATTGAAAGAGCGTAAGAAGCCTTTTGATTAATAAGGGGTGACACTCTATCATTTGTTGTATTATTTATAATGCATGCTCAACCTATATTAAAGCTGAGACCATCATGGTCTCAACTTTTTTTACTAGGGTAAAAATATCGATGTATATTTTAAGTAATTGTAAAACATTCAGATGTATATATATAACAGATTAATAAATGGCGTATCAAATGAAGACTTATAGAATATAGCAAGTTTTTAAAATGCTTTGTCTTGTTTATTTCCAGTGAAGCTACACATCCACCAGCTCGATCTAGCGACACAGTATGATCCTGCGATGACAGAACACATCAATCGAACATCAATCAACTGTCAGCAATGTCATGAAAGACTCCAAGAAATTTACTCAAAGGACTAAAAAATCTCAATGATACAGAAATAAGGACACACTCAGGAACGATTTCAGACTTTTACACGAAGGTAATAGAGCTTGCATTGCCAATTGGACATTAAAAGATGCCATGAAAAACTCCTAAGAAAGTTACCCAGGACTAACAAATGTTCAAAAGGAGCTTTGCCCTAAAGTAGTAGCAACTAAGGCTGTATGGCAAGCTTACAATAGATTACCAGATAAGCCAAATATCACAAACACGAATGGAACATTAACAGAGTTACCTCGATCCAAATAAGTGACCTTATTCAGAATTAGAAATGATGATAATGCGATAATGAATATCTTCTGACGAATCCCTTTGATATGGAGGCCTGGGCGGGGAAGAAGAATCCTGGTGTAAAGAAATCAAATCTCAAAACCAAAACTCTATGTTCGTCGTTGACCGTTTTTGAAGGTTAAACTGGTCTCATATATCCATATTCCATATCCATGATATCTGTATATAGTGAATACTAATCGTTTTGGCCTAAGACGATTTTCGAGTGTATAATTAAGTAAACTTTCAATCCTCTTATTGATGTAGTTAGCTGATCCTTTAGACTTGAACAGGTGAAATGATTGTCAGTTTACTGGGCATAGGCGGGTGTGGAACAGTTCAGTTGAGAGAAACTTTGGGCACTAGACTGTCACCCTTGGCTTGGTCTACTATCAGTACTATCCATATATTTTTGAACGTGTGTTTTAGGTCTGGGGGTAGAGGTGCTTAGATAAAACGTTATCCTTTTAGATACTACATGTACTATATATAGTATGTACTTTAATTAATGTATTGTGTTCGTCATTTGCTGTTGATATTGTATTAGAAAATAAAAATTTGAACATGAATATAACTGATATTAAAATGATATCGTTTCATTCTTTTCATTGTGGGATACACAGCCTTGGAATACACCCTTCTCAAGCATACTTGATATTAGGGAGCAAAGCCTGACGATATAATGACTTTTGTAAAATAGTCACCAATTATGGAATTTATATTATTTCATCACTTAATAATGAAATAAAATATTTGCGTCTCAATTTGATCAGATTATTTGTGAGTCACATGAGATGTTCTATGTTTACAGGGTGATACAAAAAATGCAACTCTTAAATCTTATTTGAAATAACTTTATCAATTATGTTGATATTTTAGTGTGTATAGAGTGTTCGACGCAGGAAACAGAGGTATATCAGCATCAGCGATTCGCAATATGGAGAATAGCCGCATTGCGTGCTGGGACTCAACAGCCACCGTGCCTCTGTAAGAAAATGTTCTGCCCTCTACTTTTCCTTTTGCAGAATTTAAACCCATTTCTTTGATGAGTTCCTCATGATTGTTAGCATGCGAGTAGTACTGGGGAGTATCGTGATGCAACAACACCGTGTTGTTGCATCAAGATGGCCAGACTTCCGGTGATAGATTTTCGTACGATATTTTGTTTCCCCAATTAAACCCATTTCTAGGACGAGTTGCTCAATAACCATACACGTGCAGTTAGCGCACGATCTATATTTAAAGAAACTGTCATTAGTATACATGTACCATCACCGTGAAGCAATCAGTTCACGGTTTTAGTTCCTCACTATTGATGCAACAACACCAAACCGAAGATGCAACAACACTCCTCTAGATTTGAGCAATGATGCAGCAACACCAATTAATAGTATAATTTCAGAAGACCATAAATCTCGAGAGGAACAGATTTTTAAATGCTACTATTGCAACACCGTTGCCCATTAGCCTACCCATATTTGTGTTCTTCTCAAGGCATTCAAAATACACGTCCTGCGGGCGAAGATCCTTTATATGTATTTTCAAAAATTTATACTTTTACATATTATAATGTACTGGACGTTGTTCTATAACATAGTTCAATCGCCTTTAACATGGCAAGCTTTAGTAACTCAATCTATTTTCATAAACCACTGTTCCATAGCTTGATCGCCCTGACTCCAGTCAGTATCATTCAAAATGGTGGACAAACATCTTTCGTTCCCCGGGTTTCGTTCTCGGTAAACATGATGAGCTATTGGATATTATCTCCATATTCGTGAGCTTATGTTGATGGGATGATTGCTTCATCTATGATATAATATGACATGATTCTTTATTTCCTACAATTTGGAGAGCCAACGTGTAAAAACGTCTAATCGACTTTATTAGAGAGGCCGTTTAGTTACACGTTTAATGGAAATCATGCACGACGCACATGTAGAATTATTGCTCTCTTTGGATTCCTTCTCTCCGACTGAGTAAAAAGGTAAACAAAAGTGATAAGATTTCAACTCCTATAATCTCAGATTTGGGGGAAGATAAAACGTACTATTGACTGGTCACATGACCTAACTGGTGATTAGTACAATTCATCTTCCCCGAAAGCAGGGATTTAGGACTTTCCAGGGAATTAGTTCATCTATTCCATGTCATGTGACCATGAATAAGCCAATGAGCATCTAGAATACATTTGAGGTATATAATAATACATAATTTTGACCGCTAATCACCCAATCAGAATCGAGTATTTCAACACTAACAATACATTTTGTTGCCCGCTCATCAACCAATCAGAATTGAGTATTTCAATTGAGGTACTAACAACACAAAATGACTGATATCTGTTGTCTTTCCAAAATTATATTAGTTATTTGTAAGCAATTTCCATACGGTAAATCAAGGGCATTTAATTTAGAAAATGTATAATCTTTATTTTTCAGATACAATATCAATGAGATTGCCTCCCGGGGATTCTGTACTTTATTTAGTTTGCCTTGAATATCCTTTTAAGTGTGATATAGACAAAGAAACCAAACAAAATACGTTTCGTTCATGGACCACTGACTCACGCGTTTTATTCATGTCCGACCTACACCTGTAAACAGAACATAAAACAGTTTCTCTTGTTGTTCAATGATACATTATACAGGGTGTCAAATAAGTCCCGTCCCCCCCCCTCTACAGCCAAAACCAAGATATTTGGTACCAAGTGTGATATATCATTGGAAAGGTCTTCCAAAGTTACGTTGATTGGCATATATCTGACACATGTCAATCAATCTCACAAATTTTTACATTGTATCAATTGAGGTGACCATATGCCTAGAAACATGGCAATTTGGCATATTTGGCAGGATTTTAAGAATCGGGTATAAGAAAGGTCAAGGGACCAAAAGATGACTAAATATGTTTATGGCAATGAATTTAACCAATTTCTGGATAGGGTTAGATGTGTAGAAAATAGAGGGGCAAGGAAAGTGCTGAAAACCATTTTGTAACAAGTGGAATGCGAAAAAGATCAACTTTTTGACGTATTTCTGAGGTCATATCCTTGTCATTTTGACGCAAAAAAGCTACTTAAAGGAGGGCACGTAAACTATAAAAGACATCATAAAAATATAGGTAAATTTCATCCAAAATACTTGAGAGTTGGTGAGTTAACATAACTTTGGATGATCTTTCCAATGGTATATCACACTAGGTACCGTCTGTTAAGGCTTTAGCTGTAGCAGGGGGGACGGGACTTATTTGACACCCTGTATTGGCGTTTTTGCATCAGCCCATTGGTGTTGTTGCATCATCGATAAGAAACAGAGTGGTGTTGTTGCATCAATAGTGGGGAATTAAAACCACGAATTTATCGCTTCTTGATGATGCTACATGTATACCAATGACAGTTTTTAAAATATAGATCATGCGCTAACTGCATGTGTATAATTATTGAGCAACTCGTCCTAGAAATGGGTGTAAATTGGGAAAACAAAACATCGTACGAAAATCTATCACCGGAAGTCTGGCCATCTTGATGCAACAACACGGTGTTGTTGCATCACGATACCCCCCAGTGGAAATGTGGACAAATAGTCCATTATGTTTCTCTTCCTCTGCTTTCTCGCTAAAGTCTCAATTACTTACATTTGCTCTCTTGAATCATCTACATCTTACTGCTAATCCCTATATAGTATATATTATGAGGTTATATAATGGTTGATTCCGTATATCGTGTTTATACTCAAGTGAGTATATGATATATTCACGAGTGACTGAAGGGAACGAGTGAATATATCATATACTCACGAGAGTATAACGATATACAGAATCAACCATTATATGATCTTATTATCCCACCCTAATCTTTAGGCTAATCAATAAAAGGTTAATCTAAATTCAGCAGTTGTATATCAAGTCGAAGAGTTGTATACGCTGCCCAGGAGTTGTATACGCTATCCAGGAGTTGTATATCGTTCTCAACAGTTGTATACGACGAGTGTTGGTTTTATATTGCAGTTATACAATGCTATTATACAATCATATAAAGCACTTAGGGTGGGATAAATCCCTATATATATATATATACTGCATATTTCTCTCTATTTTGGGAAGCTACAGACGCCATCAGTAGGGCAACGCTCTGAAGAACAAGCGCTGCTTTTTAAGAACAGTTGTTACAAACATGAGGCTTCTAAAGTTTTCAAATAAAGAATTTGCACAAGTACGCTGCTGTTTCTGAACTCTTGATATACACAAAATAATTCACAAAGATTCAATCTAAGTTATTTTGAAAGTAAGAATATTGCATTTGTTATAGTAATTTGTTATTCAACTTCTTCGTCATATTTACGGAACGCAATGTCCAACTGAAGTCTTCATGACGTATACCTTCGAACCCCCCCCCACTAACCACATTGACCAAACATATCAATACTTTGTTTGCAATTTATTACACTTTTCAAAATTATTTACATATCTGGTCGTTTCTTCCATATCTTCTCTATCAATATCGCCGTATTATTTCTTTCATACAAATGTACAAATACAGTACGGTTTGTGTGATCCCAAAGTAAATTCGAAAATTTCTCAACTGCAAATGCAACTCCTAATTTCCTGTCTTTTCTGTGACGTATTCCACAAGTTTTGTACTCTCCCTTCGGTGCAATCCCAACCATTTTTAATAAGATACCAATATAGGCATCATCGGGGAAAACTAATGGTGTTTTGCATGTGAGGGCGTTAATGTATGCGGCGGAATCACGTGAAAGAAGCATGGCAAATCCAATGTTGTATCTTGGGAGTAAGTTGAATTTGGTCCAGTTGGTTGGGGGCTCGGAATGCATCTCGTATCTCCCTGAGGTTATCGCCATTTGTTCCTCGGGGTAGCTACATCCGTAGTACACTCTATCCATGCTATCGTTTCCCTCTGTTTTGATGATATTGTTGATTTTGTTAATGTTAATTACGATGTCATCTGTTGCGTAAATTACATGTGTCGCTGTTGGACAGTACACGAGCCCCCATCGCAATCCCAGAATCCTTTTCGCAGTCATGGCTCGGTATGAATCGTCAACCTGAATTTGTAGAATATCTTTGTGAATTCTAGACTCTCTGTTGACTTCATCAATGATATGTTGATCAGCTGTGTTGTTAAAATCTCCAATTATAAAAACAACCCTCAGAGCCATCTTTTGGGCATTATTGGCACTTGCATTGCCCCACGTATTACGCACTGCCTGACGCACATTGAAGGATTGTATTGCACTATTACACATGACAAGCACATGGGGTTGGTGGTCACTACATATCATTCTGGGATTCAATATTAGCTTTTTGTAATCCAACTTTGGAGCGTTATCAACATAAGGAAAATCAAAAAAGTTTGGAGGAATTCTCTGTTTGTCATAGTTCGTTTGTTTTACGATAGGTGGCAGCATAGATGGCCATTTATCAGAGATGGCGCTGCATGAGTACATATGGGGGTTCTGTTCTCCACATAATCTCCCCGAAATGTCATATTTACAATCAACTGTGCGCTCAGATGGAATGTGATTAGGGTCAGTCACACGGTTAGTTTTAGTTTGCTCGCCCATGTGGTTCTCTGGAACAAGAGATCCGTTATTTTCATCTTCAATGAAATCCGCAAATTCATAGATTTTATAATTGATGCTGCCAGTCTCATTCCATTTTCTAATATCGTCAAGTTTTGTTTGGTCGACTTCTTTCTCAAATTGCAATTGGGCATAATCATCTTCAATAATGTCTGGAAAGTGACGCATGTCATAATTCATGTTTACAGCGCCATCTGCTTTGATGCAACTATCCGCGAAGCGTTCTCCTGGCATCCGTTTTATCCTCAAAATATTAGTAAGTGTCATGATACATACGATCAAGCATAATGGCCTTATCAAAAACCTCAGCCGCATTTTGATGATGTTCATTGTTTCTTGTTATTTAGGTCTGCTATTTGATTCGTTTGATCATTCTTTCTTGTACATTCTTTGGAAAAGCCGGTAATAATTAATAACTGATAATAATTACTTATTAATTGATAATCAAAACTTCTACCAGTTGTTACAACACTCATTTCTCATTTGTTTATGTAAATCAGATTGTGTTTGTAAATTCAAATGACCGTATGTGCACCTTAAGGTCGTTCCGTATGTTTAGAAATTTCAAAGGGTTTCTCAATTGGAGTCCCACGTTATTTTCAGTCATTAGTCAAGTCATTCCATACATGATAAAGATATTTTAGTTTTACACGATGCAAAGAGTATATAAATGTACCTAGATTACTAGTTGAGGGGTAATAATTTTCTACAGCGTATTAAAATTTATAAAGTTCAGTGACCTACTTTTTGGGTTAAAAGTACAAAAACGTAGGTCATTGAACTTTTTTTCTTCTTATGTATCAATAATATGTATAGGTCTCGGTGAAATGATGCTTTGTACAAAACCGAAAGATGGATAGCATATATGGAATCAGTTATATGTACCTGAAAATGACATAGGACGCCATTAGAATTTCTGAACGTGCGGATATACCTTAAACTCTAATCCGATCATCTCGAACAACATCTTTCTCAGTGCGTCCTTTGTTTAATCCTTTGAGTGCATCGTCATTTTGTAAGAGTTTATTTACGTACCATTTATCCTTTATCATACATGTGATGTAGGTTTCAATGATAAAAACTTGTAATGGTATGGTACAATATGTGAATACTGCACAGAAAATGTCAAACCGAAACCAACCACACGTTTTGTTTTCAAAATAATATGGCGCAGCGAATTATCTAATATTGTATTTCTATCTATAAATCATAAATAGGAGACGCCTGTTTTACAATCTACCATGCCATTTTCATTCGATTTGCGACTTTCAAAAAGTACGATCGTCTGATAGAGTATTTCACTTGAGGGCCGGTAAATGTTTAATCCTAAGATTGGTTTCATTCATTGGTTTGTTGAACGCCGATCCAGGGATTGCATGTCATGATCATAATCTTCTGAATTTTTAAAGAGGCGCATTTATTTTAGTATTAAATACAGGGTGGCCCAGAAAAAATAAACGGAAGGAGGATGGTGGTGGGGGGGGGGGGGGTAGTAGCCGATTTCTGCTAGAAAATCCAAAATAACGAGAAAGTTAACAAATAAATCGCTAAATAATGGTAACATCTGAAAGGTGATTTATGATTTTTTTCTTAACTTCTAGGGTGTGAGATTTTTTATAAAAGGCGCAACGTCACCAATGACTACTTATGCACGATGGTGACGTTGTGTCTTTTTAAATAGAACCAACACCCTGGAAGAGTCTAAAAATCATAGAAAACCTTACAAATTTTACCATATCGTGTTTGTATTCATTCAAATCGATTTATTCGTAAACTTTCTCGTGAAAAATAAAGCTTGCAGATTTGTTGAATTTATAGCAGAAATCGTCTAATAGCCTAAACCATTCGTTCATTTTTTCCAATTTACAGGCGTGTGTGGTGTATATATGAAAGTAGAGGATCATCTTATTTATGTTGGGCTTACTATTTCTCCAGATCCCTTGGCCTATGTCATTCACATTTTGAAACACATCAAAGCAAAGTTCTTTGTCTAGAAAATGATATTTTTTCAAGAGATGTAATGAATAAGTTATTACTATTAGTACGATAGACATATTTTTTACGTTTTATTTTCGGCAGTGCTGGGTAGTGAGTGAAAAATATTGATTAACGCCCACAGACGAAATTAATTACTTAGGCCTAGAGGGTGAGGGTAATAATGCATTACTCTTTTAGCGCATATAATGAAAGAAGAGGATGTCGATCGGGTCACTAATCAGAAAAGTAATTTGTTTTGATAACGCTTACATCAATATATCGACACATTGTTGGACGTTTTAGTAAATATTTGATTTGAGCTGTTTTGGTTTTTTCTTTAAACTATTTAGTGTCTTTAATGTGAGTCAATCCTTACATGACTTTCATATTCCAAAGAAATGGGCGTGGCTCGACAATGGGCTTTAAACCAGAGACATAGCCTATACATGTACATTGGACACAATGATGAATGATAATACATTCAAGTAGTTATTACCATGGAGGACGGAGGTTTACAATAAGATGTCAGTGAGTCAATGATTTTCTGTAGTCAACAAGTCCTAATCACACGATTTAGCCCCTGCACTTTATATATAAAGACAACAAGTTTCTATAGATCGTGTTGATTGGAACAGAGACAATTATCTTAGCTTGCTGTCAGTTTGTGGAGCTAATCAGACAAGTTATCCTCTGAGAATAAACACTTACAGAGGAAAATCAATCACTAAATTAGCCCATTCTGAGACGAGAAAATTGACAGCACAATGAACTCGTCCAAATAAATTCTCCATCCTGATACCCCTGTCAGTGTGACCTTAACAATGGAATCGCCCAAAATGGCGAGTGGAGAAAGTCGAAGTGGAAGTGAATTCCGTGAAAAAATGTCGACTATGACCTCCCAAGACGACTCTTCGGAAAGCGAAGGAGAAACGGAGCCAGCGAAAGCCTTCCACAGGAGAATATCCACAAACAAAGCGATAAAAACATCAGTGAGTACCGTAGTTCCGTATTAAAATCACACCAGATTTTTTCAGAAGTTTTTTCCAGGTTTTCCCCACGCACATTAAAAATCAATGAGGATTCCCCCATCCTAAATAACCTATGAAGTGTTTATGTTACGATTATATGATATAGATGTATTTGTGTCGGTATGAAGTGTTGATTTCTTTATCTTGACTCTTGAAAACCTCTTCGAGAGCACTTGAAAAATACAAATTTGGCAGAACATAAATCAGGCCGATTGCTTCAAAGATGATACATAGATCTACATGTAGTTCAACAAGTTAAACCTAAGATTTTCGACATCTAAAAAGTCACTCGACTTTTTTGCAAAAAAACGTCCATAAAGTAAGTCGCATGAATCCGCCACCTAACTTATGCACCATCGAACTCGGTAATATTGTACACGTAACTATTAATTACGGTATATTCCCATAGAAAACTGGGCTTGCTTTTCCACATTTCAAGCGAAAATTCTCTACGGAGCTTTTGTTTTTCTGACGTAATTTCTTCTAAGAAATCGGTGAGGTGATAGGTTCAGTTCATCTTATTTCGAAAGGGGTGTCATCTATTTAGAATATTTATTTTCATCTTGTCCAGTCTTATATACAACCTGCCCTTATCTTTTTCGCTCGTAAAACCGCGTAGCTATGTTGAAATTATGGAATAGATTCTCTGAGAGTTTCGACATGTCTTCATCTTTACCATCTTGCGTTTGACACCCCTCGTTTTGGGCGAGTCCAAGTATACCGTACATCGGGGTGATTAGAAAATAGACAATTTTGGATTCAACTACAAGAAAAGAATGCTAAAATACCAAGGAATCTATTGAAGTAGGTATCTTAAGTGTAAGGGGCGTAGATAATTCTCCCAAGTTGTAATCGTACAGGCAAAAGATTGCGCTCGGTCCAGGACTATAGTCCTGGCACGGGATAAGATCCCCCTTCTTGGTTGGGATCTCCCTAAACAGGACGTTGTTTTTACATACAGGACTTTTGGGGGCATAATATGTGATGTCAGTCCCATCTGCGATGGTTCAGCTCATCAGAGCCAGACCATAGGGGAAATGGTCCAAATTATCGCATGGTCCTAATTATCGCACGATTGTCCTTAATAGCTAAAATATGCACCCACCATCTTTTAAACCAGCGTTACGAAAAACAGTTCAACACCATTACTCCCAATCTTCATGATTTATTCTTATATTTAGAAATGTCTCTTCATTTTTTAAGTCAGTATCGTCAGTAGTTTTCCAGAGTACTTGTGCGGTGATAGTACCATTTCCCCTATATCTCCTACTCAAGTAATCATAATTTCTCAACTAGTCAGATGTAAATTTACACTCCATTTTATTTTATATTCATAGGGTCTGGGAATGACGGGACGTTTCATTTTCCCCCTGATTTGACCTGTGATTACTAAAGCCATAAGTCAATTTCCATATGATTTAGCCCATAGAAGTGAAATGGTAAAACTATAAACTTTGATGTTTTACTTGAAAGATATTGATGCGAAAATATAATTAAATGTGGAATTAGAAGATAGATTTTGAAGTAGACATTACGATTTGAAATTTTCAAGCTGCCATTGTTTTATTAAAATTTATATCTTTCATATCTTTCTGGTCATAGTTGAAATCAGGACTACATTTCAGAAAAAAGCATGTGGTTGGGTTCTTTGCATCTTCCCCGTCTCAAAGAAGAATTGATAAATTAGTACTTTTCCTTTAGATAATGCATTTGCCTATCATATGGACCTGTTTAAATCCTCAGAAAATAGCCAAAATCCAACATATGACTCTCCGAAATCTGTTGCTATACTTTCCGTCCTCCTTTGGATCAGAGTAATTGTTATGATCTGATGTCAGGGTGACAGGGCTTTAATGGTAACATGACATCATCATTAGCAAATGGCAAGCGTGTCAGTATCCAATTCACCAGAGGTGGCTGTAAACTGACTGTAAATTTATATTAGTGATTGATATTCATTTTTTTCACTAATGAAAATTGTTGGCTTCTATATACAATGTATTTAGAAACTGAAAATGATGTCTTATATGAAAATTCTCAAAATTCTCATCATAATTGTGCAATATAGTGTGTAACCCTTTTTATAAGGGAGGGATAAATTGGTGTTCCCTGTGCATGTAAATACACATGCTTGATTAAGGGTGCAACTGCTGTCTAGCGTATTCACTGGTCTGTATGTTTTTACATGGAGAGTTGTTAGTTGAGGTACTAGTGAAGTTTGCTAGTTGGCGGAAATGACAAGTAGTGTTTTTGGGAACACAGGTAGCAAATCACTACCTTAGCAATGCTAATTTCGAGGCTTGTAAAAGGTGTTCCCTGCTCATGTAAATACACATGCTTGATTAAGGGTGCAACTGCTGTCTAGCGTATTTACTGGTCAGTATCAAGCGAAGTCAACGGCCGTCACCTTCGCATCAAAGATGGCAGACGGGAAGAATCAATTTCGATATTTTTAGTTTTCATCAAATTAGACTACTTTATAGTTGGCATAATACTATGATATTTGA